CACGCCAGCAGCGGGCGCTACGTGCGGCGAGATTGTACACACGCTGGGGCTGGCATGTGCGCCTAAAATCAATCAAAAGCAGACATGACAGCCAAGACTGAAATGTTTTCGTTGACGTCGGTACTCATCCTTTCCGTCAGGAATATGTCTTGTTCTGACATATTCCGCTGAATTTAGTCTGCTTGTCTAAGTACGAATTTGAAGTTGGTAAATCTAAACATTTGATAATTTTTCGTAGGTCTAGCCTAGACTCTAGGGCCCGTAGGGGTCTATATTTTCACTAGTATTTTGCATCCTGAAAAGGAGCTAAAGGCCGTCATTCGTGTTACGGAACGGATCTCCACTGCGAGAGAACGACTCATAAGCTGTCATGTATTTCTTCAGCTCTTCTGGATCTTCTACACGTTTCGTCATGTCGCTTAACAAAATCTTCTGATAAATATAATGATTGTTACAATAGAAGAGTGGTGCAACTGTCTGCCTCCCAGCAAAGCCACTTAAAGCCCAGAACACCTGACACATAGTCTAGAAATATCGGCTTACAAAGACGAAATAATGTCCGGATGGAATTAATTTCGACATGGCCTGCTCCTAAAGCTAGAAGTACGGAGTCAAAAAGTTGTTGGTGTGCTATGTTAGTCATTCCGGGATGGACAGAAGAGATGTGAAAATCGAATGATTTTTTTGTGCAAGTCAACCTTCTCCCCACGAACACAACAAATCACAATATCGTTTATCAAAGAGTCTGCTATTCTGTACGGCACCCCATCAAAACCTATCCTGATCCATTTCCTTTCATTCGTTACATTTCCCTGCCTTAGTAACTCTTTTAGCACATGTTTGATGGTTTGTCGTGAGTTTGGATTAACCCCAATAATTTCACCCATGGCAACTTTTGCCGGTTGCGGGGGGTGGTTGACGTCAACAAACTTATACAATTTTGACCGATCACTAAATATTGTTTGGATTGTGATTACAGTGAGTACACAGATTTTTTTTTTCTTCATACACTTTGGAACAATTGACACACACGTTGACTCCTTCGTTTGCGACACAATATCGAACATGATCTTTAACTTCTCCTGTGATGTTGTCAACTTTGATTTCTTGTTTGACTTTTTCCAGGGCCTCACTTTGCTGTAGACATCTATAAGGCCGGAAGACAGACGCATTCAGAGATTCCTCCAGTTCTGTTACCTTCTTGTTTATTTCTGTCATGTTCATTTTCCCTGACCAGTTGGAAGGTTTTAGATTTTCATTTGTCTGCGTATTTGATGGTTGATTTCTTTGTATGAAGACAACGTTAGTTACTGTATTTACCGGTGTTGTTCCACTTTCCCTCACACGTCCCGTTTTCCCAACCCTTTGCGAGTTGTCGGCAAATACCTCGACATCCCCAGGTGAGAAACATTTATTGGGCTGCTTTGAAGAGTTGTCAAGTACCTTTTTTAGTGTGGTCACACTTCCCGATGGCGTTGTGGCCCCATCAATGGTTGTTATTGTTTTACTCCCAGCAAGGGCCCACTTAACCAGTGACTGACTGAATGAAACATTGCCAGTATAGTTTTTATTCCGAACTGGTACAATTGTTCAACTAAAATGGCAAATGCTGTTTTCTTGGAGAGAGAAGCATTTTCTGTGCAGATATTGGTTGCACCAGATAAGAAATTCACCAGTTCCTTTGGTCTTCCTTTCAGAAATTGTTGAATATCAAAGTTTGCAAGATTATCTAGATTGGCATAATCTCCTGCTAGGTTTTTTGTATCGTCAAGTATCTTCTTGTTTATGGAATCACCCAAGTTGAAGTAAAGATGCTCTCTTTGATCTTCTGTTAATTCTTGTACTCGTTGCAAAATGTCCTCCACTGCAGGATCAAGTATTGGTGGTTCAATTTCATGATAGCCTTCGTCATCATCATGGCTTGGCACCGACGTGGAAGTTTGATTTTCACAATTACGCTTGGCATAGTTAATACAATTCAAGCATACGTAGTTTGAAGTTGAAGATAAAAGTTTGCTTGATATTAGCCATTGCCAGTGATCTTTCACATAAAGTCGGCTTGATTTCTTGAAAAGAGATGGTGCAGGCGACTGTGTTGCATCATGGAGTTCACACCTGCATCTCTTTGAGAACCCAGGCGTCCGTGGAGTCTGGTGCGTCTTCCTTTTTGGTGGTTGACTTTTCCCCATCCTCACCTAAAATTGGAAACATAGGTGGGTACGCAGTACGCTCTTACCCCCCCCCCCCCCTCCTCCTCCTGAAAAAATCCTGCGTACGCTACTGCCGGCTGGAATAGCTCTTGTGCATGGGTGTCGATCCGGCCTCATCTAAGTTAGATATAGAACTGTTGCCTCTGATCTTTATTAACCTCTCACATGTTGACTACTTGTATTTATATTTATATATATCCTTTCAATATATCTCCCATCCTACAATTCTTGATGCGTTGCAGGCCTGAGTTGGGGAATAAGTTTGACAAAGCGGCAACCTTGGTAAAGCGGCAACCTTGGTGGTAGCTCCCAAGCTTGATGTCCTTGCTCCAGAGTTGCACAACAAGGAGATAAGGGCAGCGTCTACGTCGGGTCGCCAGCAGACGGTACGACAGATTTGTGGTCATCCAGTTGGGAGGGTGCCGAAGGGGCTGTTGGCAGTTGTCCGCTTTGCTATCGACAATGGTTGGGAGGCATACTGCTTGTATCTGGGAACAATGACCCATGACGGGCCCGTGGCAGGAGGGGGGCCGAAGTTGAACGTGTGTTATGTCATGGTGGGGGGAAAGGAGGATGGCAGACGAGGTAGTACGTCAGATCAGGAGAAAAGGAGGAAGGGACATTAATGTTTGATAGTCATGACATACAAGTGTAGTCGAGATGACATTGATTTTGATGGTTATCATTATGGAATTAAAAAAATGTAAACCATATTATTATGTTTATAATGTTTTTAATGTCTACATGTATGTCTCTTTAACAATTTCTTCATTTTTTAACAGACTGTGATTGTGAAATAGCACTTTGTTCTTATTTTTAAAAAGTGGCATATTTCATTGAGCATGAGATATAAAGAGAGTGAAAGGGGTTGAGGGTAAAGAAGATGTGTGTTGAACTGGTAAAAAAGGATGAATTGATCAATTGACTAAAAAGAAAACACGTAAACAAATTAATTTGGAAATCAAGTTTATTCATGAATCATTATATGAAAATTTTACATGATCAACAAGCTCATGATTCGAAAATTAAACAATTTACATTTTCAAAGTAACACACAAAATAAATGAAACAAAAATTGTTAACTTATTCAACTTCCATCATTCTTTAATTCTGAATGTTCATGTTTTTCATGATGTACATATTAGGATCATCTTCAAATACAAATAGCAATGTTTGGATAAACTAAATTAATAATAGTAAGTATAGTAAAACATAAATATCATTCTTTTTGTTAAATCAATAAAACATATCAAAACATGATTGCTACTTCCATACTTCTTTTTTTAAACATTTCTATAAAAGACAATAATTATTATTGATAATAACATCATAATCTAAAAAAATACCCCGCCCCCAAAAAACAGATGACAGCCAGTCGGCATACATTGCATAAATATAACATGTTCACGAGAGATAAACATAACACAAACAACATACAAAATGGAAAATTTATGTTTAACATCAAATTATCGGGGCTTAGCTGATAAACGCCAGAAATAAAATTTGATGTCTTTATAGCATCCCTCAGCCCTTTCTCCACCTTGATAGGGTAAACAAGACAGTTGCATGTATTTTGAAAGAAAGGAACTAAAAAGAGAGCAGGGATCGAGGGGAGTGAAGAATATAATATATATGTTAGCACTAAAGAAAAAACATTTTTGAACAAGTTCAACTTTAAACCATTAATCAAACTGTTATTACACTGTCCCACAAAGTTTATTTATTTTCATTTATCTCTCCACCCCTTGACACTGCCCCGCCCTCCCCTACCGTCTATATAAGCACCCCCCCCCCCCACCCGAGCTCCCTCCCCCTCCTATGTACATGAGCTACGGCGCACGCGGCATCGTTGCATCGTTGCAGAAATCTGCAACGTGAACAATCAAACGCACCCTCTATGCGCATTCCCGGTGTAACATTGCGGATTTCTTCAACGTTGCAGAAATCGTACATTTCCCGAACTGAGATCAAGGACAAGATTAAAGTTGTAGGGGATTCACTAAGTACAAACAGGAATGACCAGAGATCAGACAGGAATTGGAGATTAGCACACCTTTAATCAGGCGACAATAGCCTCCGAAACAACGATAAGAATATCACAGACAACTGTCCATTTTTACAACTGCCGAACACGATCACGATCATATCCGTATCGGTTGACGACAATCCCTATACTCTCCCCCACCAAAAATACCCTCCAGGGTTTTTTGTCAAATATTATTTTAACATTTCCAAACTGCTTATAACACAAACCAAATCTCGACCGAGACATATACACGCGAAGCAACAATATTGCAGTCAAGCACGCGTACAGACAAAACATACGACCACCAGTTCTCTTAATACGTTACGATCGCTATCGGCTGTTTCTATGTTGAATTCAGGGTACATCTATACATCCAGTTCGCTTGTCTGCGCAAGATACCATCAGTACTAAAAAATTGTACACTGTAAGTGTAGTGTCCCTACTGTCATGCTGCCATCTAGTGGCAGAGGAAGCATCTTGTTATTACTCCATATATATATGGAGAGCTACACCATGTATCATGAATAAAACCGTCATATACATTAATTCCAATCAACTTGCAGATCTCTTATTTTTGTGTACGCAAGGCTACACTACAATGGCGATGAAAATGGTCCAAAAGCGCCCATGTCATGCAATATTTGTGAGTTTTTATGAACTTTTCCTGTGAAATATCTGTGAGTCAGCCCCACCCATAGACAACAATGTAATGTTGATATGTCCAACTGTTTCGGAGTGCAAACACTTAAGACTGAATATTCATCATGGCGAATATGCCTATCCTCCCAACCTTCGATTCATTTGGGGAGAGTTCCTCCCTAGGCCCACGATGGGAAAGCTGGGTGAAGAGATTTGAAGGGGCAATGATAGGATTTAACATCACTACTGCTCGCAGGAAACGTGCCCTTTTGGTACATTACGGAGGTGAGTTTCTCCAAAAGGTCTTTGATACTCTCTCAGATGTTTGGGATGATAATGACTATGACAAGGCGAAAGCTGCGCTTGATGCTCATTTCATACCAAAGAGAAACGTCATCTATGAAACAATCTTGTTCAGACGGCTTAGCCAACAAGACAATGAAAACATTGCTTAGTTCTGTACACGTCTTAGGCAGGAGGCTGAAAAATGTGACTTCGCAAATGATGACAGAGAACTTGTAACGCAGATAAGGCCTAAAATACAAACTTGTTGTATTGCCCTTTAGGTGCCAAAACATGGGTCGGTTGGTCGGAAAAGATTTTTTTTCTTAAACTTTTTTTTGTCGCCCTCTTTGGGCCGATATTTTTCTGTTTTTTTCTTCTTTTTCCCGCCCTCTTTTGGCTGATATTTCTCAGTTTTTAATGTTTTAAATACATGTATTTCAGAGTCATCATTCCATTCATATCTTTTTCACCTCATAATAATCCATGGTTTGCAATGTTGTGTTGAGACAACACTCTGTGCTTTCCTGCTGACGAAGTTTGTTTTCAACTACCTGTAAAACTTGCTAGCAATGTGAAGATTGTTTGGAATAATTTGATTTTATGCATTTATATCCTAAGTCAAACAAAATACATGTTTTTTTATTCATTAATACAAAAATTCTAAAAAAACGGTTAACAAAAAAAAAAAAAAACTTTTTTAAAATGCCGACCGTAGATTTTCAGATTTTTGGGTCGGTCGCAAAGGGCAATACAACAAGTTTTTATTTTAGGCCTAATCACTGGCTGCAGGTCTGGGAAACTGTGAAGACGTGCACTGGAACGACAGATGTCCCTAACAGAACTGACTGATCTGGCACGATCGATTGAGCTGTCTGAAGAACGTGCTGATGGAGTTGAAGATGCAACGCAACTTAAAAGGGTCTTCGCTAAAGGGGCAAAACCACACCCTGCAAAAGCTAAAGATGGGAAACTTGGTCCAGGAAAGCAGAAATGCTGAAACTGCGGATACGCCTATCCGCACAATGGTAATTGTCCAGCAAAAGGAAAGAAATGCAATACGTGCAACAAACTCAATCATTTCACCACAGTATGCCACAGTGGCAATTCCATCAAAGCACTTGATGTCAATACACCTGCTGACGTTGATAGCAATGCTGATAGTGACTATCTGTTCACATTCAAAGATAAGAACAAACCATCAACCAATATAATGATCGAGGGAACAAGTTCTTCTATAGTAGTCGATTCCGGTTGCTCGAGGAATGTCATAGATGAGACTACTTACCAGAAGTTGCAGGTGAAACTCAGAAGCACACCAATTCTTCTGGTTCCGTATGGTACAAAGACTCCTTTAAACGTGCTCGGGAAATTCACTGGCCTCTTTGAAACGTCTAAGAAAGCTACGACAGCAGAGGCATTCGTAGTCAAAGGCACATACAGATGTCTTCTGGGATTGGCAACTGGGCAGGAACTTGGACTTATCACTATTCATGAAAGCACAAATGCTGTTAATGCAGATGTCGACTACGTAACAGCATATCCCAATTTGTGGTCAGGGATAGGAAAACTGAAGGGCATGGAAGTGGAACTGGACATAGATAATTCAGTTCCACCAGTGGCCCAGCGGTTTCGCAGCACTCCATTCCATTTGCTGAAGCAAATAGAAAAGCAACCAGCTGAACTCCAGGAAGCAGACATTATTGAAGATGCAACAGGTCTAACCCCTTGCGTGTCACCAATAGTGCCAGTTCCGAAACCGAATGATCCAGAGAATATCCGGATCTGTATCGACATGAGAGCGGCTAATGCAGCTATCATACGTGAACGCCATCCAACACCTACGATGGATGAAATCCTCGCTGAGCTCAATGGATCGTGTGCGTTCTCCAAGTTGGATTTGAAGTCGGGATACCACCAACTTGAACTAGCTTCAGAAAGTCGATACATCACCACATTTGCAACACATGTGGGTCTGAAGTGCTACAAAAGACTGAACTTTGGCATTTGTTCAGCGAGTGAAGTCTTCCAGAATGCCATAAGACAAACAATTGAAGGCATACCAGGAGTTGTAAATGTGTCAGACGACATTCTGGTTCATGCACCTGATGAATCATCACACAACGGACGACTCAATGCCCTCTTCAAACGTCTGCAGGAGCGAGGGCTTTCACTGAACAAGCAAAAATGCTGATTCAATCAATCTTCGATCTCCTTCTTTGGTCTGGTGTTCTCTGCGAAGGGGGTATTGCCAGATCCGGGAAAGGTAGATGCTATCCACCAGGCTGCATCTCCCAAGAACGCACAGGAAGTCAGGCGTCTCTTAAGAATGGCTAGCTACAGCGCAAGGTTCATCCCTAATTTGTCAATCACTGCACCTCTCCGACAACTCATAGAAAAGGGAGTCAAATTTGAGTGGTCTGTTGAACACGAAGCTGCACTGAAAGCGTTGAAAGAATCTGTACTGAAGGATACAGTCAGTACGTACTTCGATACCAACAAGCATACAATGTACATCATTGTATGTGGATGCGAGCCCTGTTAGACTTGGTGCCATGCTCACTCAAGATGGTCGCACAGTCAAAAGCCAAATCGAACGTGAGGCGCTTGCAATCACATGGGGAGTCCAGCGTTTCCATACTTACCTGTTTGGACGAAACTTTACTGTGGTAACCGATCACAAGCCATTGATCCACATCTTTGGTAAGCCAAAGATCGTACCATCAGCCCGTATTGCGAATTGGATGTTGAAGCTCCAACACTACGACATGGAAGTAGTTCACGCCCCTGGCAAGACAAAACCCGCAGACTACACCTCACGCCATCCCTGCAGGACTGATACCACTTCAATGCCTGATACGGAGATGTACTTTAACTTTGTAGCCCAGCACGCACAACTGAAAGCTATCAGTCTTCTGGACGTTCGTGCTGAAACAGCCTGTGATCCTGTACTACAAGCTACAATTGAAGCGTATCGTAGCGGTGAATGGCACAAGCTCAAAAGCACACACTGCTCAATGTGGAGCATCCGGTGTGAAATAGCTGTCACGGATGATGATATCGTTCTATGAGATAAGCGTATTGTTATTCCTGAAGCACTTCAAGCACGCGTTCTGGAAATAGCACACGAAAGCCACCAGGGAATCACGCGCACCAAAGCGTTGCTTCGTTCAAAAGTGTGGTTTGAGTCCCTCGGCAGGAAAGTGGAAGCACTAGTGAGAGAGTGTGCTACATGCCAAACCGTCAGAGATACTGGCACACCAATGGAGCCATTTCGGATGTCCGCAATGCCGCCTGGTCCCTGGCAAAATTTGAGCATAGATTTTTGTGGCCCATTGCCCACAGGAGAATATCTAATGGTGCTGATCTATGCTTCCCCAAAGTCATCAAGAGTGACAACGGAAGTCCATTTTAACGCAAGCGCATTCGCAGATTACGCTTCACAGTGTGGATTCGAACACCCCCACATCACTCCGCATTGGCCTCGAGCAAACGCACAAGCGGAAGCATTCAACAAGCCGCTTGTCACAGCTCTATGTGCTTCACATCTAGAAGGTAAAAACTGGAAGCAGGAACTCTACAAGTACCTTCGTCAATATCGCACCACGCCACACACTTCGACAGCCGTTAGCCCATTTCAGCTAATGTTCAATCGCGAACCAATCACCTGTTGCCAGAATTCGACGTTGATCGCGATAATGATTCTTCGACACAAGGTGACGAAAATGCCAACACACAAGCGCATAGCAAAGCAAGAGAGAATGATCGTCGTGCAAAGTTAAACCAAAAAAAATATGCTGACAAGCGCAATCGCAATGCGACAAGCGATTTCAGCATTGGTGACCAGGTTATTGTGCGTAACGATACACGACGTAACAAATTGTCATCTCCAATCAATCCAACATCTATGACCATTGTGAATAGGAATGGAAATATGATTACTGCTCAGTCTCGCGAGAGGAGGGTTTCACGCAATGTTTCATGTTTCAAAATTTTTCTTTCTTCACAATTGCGTCTACCTGAAAACAAGAGCGATCACGACCACCCAGTTTCTACGGAACCGCAAACCGCGCTTCCTGGTCTTGGTCATTCTCGCAAACCTCCATCTTATCTGAAGGATTATCAAACCTAAAGGAAACAAAGAAAAGAACGAAACAAATAAAATGACACGGACAGTCTGATGTCTTGTTTAATTTGTTTATTAAGTAGTAATATGTTTTACTATCTTGAATGTTTATGTTTTTATATTTTTCCATGCGTTAAAAGTTTAAGACCATGAAATCTCAGTTGTATACTTAATGGTAAGAATCACTCTCATTTTTCTTCATGAAGGAAGGGATATGATATCTGTTATGTAAAAATATGTATGACTAAACTGTAGTATGTTGGATAATAGACACCTGCATGTATTTATCATTTGAGTCAAAACATAATTCAAGTGTATCTGTTTACTACATTAATCTCAAATACCCAAGTCGTACCAAGCTCACTAATTGATTTGTTTATCATATAAATACCAACATGAAAGTTTTGTGGTATAACAGGGAATTGACAAACAAGTATATTCCATTTATTCAATTTGAAAGGTGTTTAAATGTGAGACACATACACTTTGTTTTAAATACGTTTCAACAATTTGTCAGTTTTAAAATACAAAATTGCTTATAGCCAGAATAAATGCATGTTTATTCAGAATGCATGAATTATGATATTGTTTTGTTTTATACGCAAATGAAGAATGTAGACAAGTTTGTTCATGGTATTTGGTATTCATGGTACAATTTGAAGTTTATTAATCAAATATGATGGTTAACAAATTACAGGTCATCTGGTTCATCTGAATGTAACCAAATTCAGCTATGCATTTGAAAAGTATCAGAGTACAGTTTTTTTGTATAACTTACAGAAACAATCTGTCTAAAAGAAAGAGAGGGATGTAGTATCCCTACTGTCATGCTGCCATCTAGTGGCAGAGGAAGCATCTTGTTATTACTCCATATATATATGGAGAGCTACACCATGTATCATGAATAAAACCGTCATATACATTAATTCCAATCAACACAAGGACACTACAGTAAGAATAACAAACACTGCACTTGCACCCCAAATGATAGCTTTTCCCCACAAAACAGAGATGCAATGTACATAGTGCTAAACACCAACAAGAAAAAATTTCCAAAACAGATACCATCTTAACCTGCTCAAGCATATCCACGAACTGCATAAGTAACACAACACCAGCACAGCTGAGTGATCTTTTGTTTGAGTTCTTTCTACAAAATAAGTAACCCTTAGACAAATTTGCAATTTAGCCCTACATGCATGGCTAAAGTGTAGAATGGATGACAACTAAACTTACTTCATATCCTCTACTAATGTAATCCGTTCAGCAGGTCCGGCAAAATAACATTTTTATATATATTTTGTTATACAATTGTTATACCCAATTTCAGGTCAGATATAGTGTATACCAAGTAGGATGTTAGCAAAACTAACATCTGTGTATGTGTAAATTATAAACTACACTCGGTTGGTAGTTATATTGTTTCGTTTATCTTTTGAAACACAAATTCTGTGTACATACTGTATCACACATTCATGTGCACAAAAATTCAGTGTACATGTATAACTCTAAATAAAACACTAGATGCAACGACAGAAAATTCACCAGGACTCTTCACAAGTTTAAATACAGTCCCAATTTTGTTAACAATTTTCAACCGGTTGTTCTTATCCTTTAACTGTAAAGATAAATGATCCAACATGTTAATATTAAAATAGTCATCAACAATTTTGAAGAGTGCATAATTCTGCATGAGCCAGGAATAAAGCACATGGGTATGCACCAATATAAATGGTTGACATTAAACATACAACATCAGTTGTATTAAGAGTCCAGATCAATTAAACTTTCCAGCACACCCAACCTGTACCCAATTTTAAGGGTCATTTTTGCGGGAAAGGGTACCTATTATCAGGGGGGGGGGGGGTATCCACAAAACAAAGGTGTACCTTAGCGACACAATTGGCATCCAGTCTAAACAGTAAAATTTCAAAACCGTATCCCAATGTTAAAGATACTACATGTATGTCCCTTTTGCAGCCAACATCATACCTCATGTTTAGGGATTTTTTTGTTGAAAAAGTCACACATTAGAACAGCACATCCCCGTTTACCTTCAAAGCTCAAAAGAAAATCATTCAAAATTCGCTCCTTATGATCGACATTGATATGAAGGCCGGACAACTATTGCATGTAGGCCTATACACTTGTGTGATTCCCAAGCAACTTTCAAAAGGACTATAACTTAAGACTAATTAATCTCCATGCAGAGATTCTTTAAAGCTGCCCGCTCACGTGACGTGCCGACCCGCAGTGACCGTTTATGGAGCATGTAGCTGCATGCATTGCATGCGAAGATCGAATCCTCGCTGCGTGTGCGCTGATCCTCATTGCACAATGTGCCTACAAAGCATTCCTATTCCCTGTTGGATCAGCGAATATAAACTTATGTATTTTAAATTTAGAACCCCAAAATAGACAAAATTGGTTAAAATAAACCTCTTCATGGCAATCTAGAGGTTTTAAAACTGGAAATGGGTGAAATTCTGACTCGATTGAGTGGAACACCACAGAGAAAAGCGCCGTCAAACAAACGGAAAGACATACAGACATACACACAAGATTAGCCAAATTATAGTAAGGATAATGCTTGCTCATAAAGTCACAATAACAAATTAATCATATCTCTATTATTTTTGTTCATTGTTCTTTTTTAGTCCCAGTGGCGGATTCAGGGAGGCGCAGGGGGAACATGCACCCCCCCCCCCGGTAAAAAAAAGGGGGGGGGGAGGGGGAAGGGGGGGGAAAGAAAAAGGGAGACAAAGGAGAGGAAAAGGAAAGAAAAGGGAAGTGAGTAAGAAGAAGAAAAGAGGGAGAAGAGAAAAGGGGAAAGGAGAAAAAGGAGGGGAAAGGGGAAGAGAGAGGAGAGAAAAGGCGGAAAAGGAAGAAAGGGGGAAGGCGGAGGAGAGAAAAAGGGGAAAAGGAGAATAATGAGAAAGGAAAAGAAAGAAAGGGAGATGATATTATAAGAAGGTTTTTTTTTATCGGGAAAGGGGCCCTACGCTTTGCGCGGGGAGGGGGGGGGAACTGAATTCAACAAGGATTAAGGGTACAGAACGGTACAACAA